AAAAAAAAAAAAGTCACAGATTTTCCTGCCAGGGCTGGTTTCAAATTGCAATCCTCAAATCTCAGCCTATTGGGTAGTTCAGATTACGTACCTGAGCCAACATACGTACAATGAGCCAGCTTGAATATTTTAAAATATAAAAGCAATAAATGCTCACCTTGACAAAGCTACCATCACCAGGTGACTCAGATACTAGCAGATGAACACAGTGTTTAACTCACACAGAGGCAGTGGAAGAGAAAATCACAAATTGCTTTAAATATGAGTGAGATTAACGATAACTTTCTTCCCACCTTTGGTCTTCTTGCACAGACACACTCCCTTTCTGTTCCTACCTGACAGCTGCAGAAGGATCAAGGTAGCAGCGACTTTCCAAGTCCCAAACAATCCTTTTTTTCATGCACTCTGCTTGGTTCCTAAATTCTCTGTCCTGTAAAGTAGTAAGACAGAGAATTCTGTTCTCTGTGTATGCCACAGTTCATCCTTCTCAATCTGTGGGGCATTCTTTGTTGTTGTTGTCAGCCATGGGGCTTGAACTCTGGGCCTGGGCACTGTCCCTGAGCAATTCAGCTCAAGGCAAGTGCTCTACCAGTTGAGCCACAGTGCCACTTCCTAGTGAGGCATTCTTTGAATGGATTTTATCACAATATTATGCAACTACTATCACCATCTTAAAATGTAGTAACGGAAGATAATCCTTACTCAGCTAATCCTTATAGCACTACAGTACTAGGTATCAAATATTCACTCACATAACCTCAAATGAGTGATTTTTAACATGGATGCATATTAAAGTCATATGTGAGTGTAAAAGCAAAATAATAACACCTTCCCCTGCCACACACTGCCAATTCTTGGAGCAGTAGTAGTATTTTTATTTTTGGGGGGGGTCTGGTCGTGGGGCCTGAACTCTGAGCCTGGGCGCTGTCCCTCATCTCAGCTCAAGGTTAGTGCTCTACCACTTGAGCCACAGCACCACTTCTGGCTTTTTTTCTTTTTGCTTATGTGGTGTTGAGGAATCAAACAATCAAACCCAGGGCCTGATGCATGCAAGTCAAGCGCTCTACCACTGAGCCACCTTCCCAGCCCTGTAGTAGAATTTATTTTTGAGACAGGGTTTTGCTGTGTGCACTGGTCCTAAATGTGTGGGCTCAAGTGATCCTTTATTTCAGCTTGTCAAATAGCCTAGACTATAGGCACATACCACTGCATCTGGGTGTAGCTTTGTAAGATCTGTTTCTGTTTCTCTCTCTCTCTCTCTCTTCCCTCTCCTCTCCCCTCCTTTCTCTCCTCTCCCTTCCACCCTCTGCCTGCCTCTGTGTGTGTGTGTGTGTATTTTTCCAGTGTTCAGAGAGCTGAGATCAAACTCAGGTCTAGTGCATGCTAGGGAAATACTCTAGCACTAGACTATACCCACCCTGTGGTATTACCTTAATGTAATACATCTGGGTCAGGGTTTCAACACTGTCATTGTTTTAAAGGTTTCCAGAGGCCAATATGACTATAATCTTCAAGATGCTGAGGCAGAAGGATCTCAAGTTCAACCAACCTGGGCTTACTATTGTAAGACCTGTTGGAAGGAAGGAAGGAAGGAAGGAAGGAGAGAGAAAGGAAGGGAGGGAGGGAGGAAAGGAAGGAAGGGAGGAAAGGAAGGAAGGGAGGAAAAGAAGGAAGGAAGGGAGGGAGGGAGGGAGAAAGGAAGGGAGGAAAAAAAGATAGAAGGAAAGAAGGTAAAAAGAAACTTCCCCATGTTAATTTCAATATGCAACCAGGGTTGGGAATTCATGATCCAGACAAAAATATGAAATCCAACTATCTAATCTAAATTAAAATATAAATCTAAGGAAGGAATAAATTTGTACTTATCAAATGATGACAAAAATACTTGTGTTTTTAAAATAGTGCGGTCCTTTATTCTATTTTTTAAATATGTAGAGCCCAAAATGAAAACACTCAATAATTTTCATTTTATGAGTTATTTTATTGAATGTTTTCACTTAATGAGTATCAGCTTGCTCTTGCTCTCTCCCACTCTCTCTCTTATTTTTCTTTCTCCTCTCCCTTCTTCCTCCCCAATATAAGGAGAGAACAATAACTTTTATTATTGTTATAGTTTGGATGGTGACTCTCTCCCAAAGGCCCATGATTGAAAAAATACTATAGGACCGTTCCAGTTGGAGCAGACATGCTTTCAAAAGATACTACAGACCCTAGACCCTTTTGCTTTCTAGCCATGAGGCCAGCAGCTGTGCTTTGCCATGGTGCACTACCTTGCCACATGTGCAAAACAAGTTAATCGATTCCAAGCTAGAAGTTCTAAAACTTTACACTTCATCAGTTGATTGTCTCAGGCATTTCATTATAACAAAAGAAAGCTAACAAAATCACCCATGCAAAAAAGGAAAACAAAGGTCAAACTTTATGTATTTTGTGTGTTGAATTTAAGAAATAAAGAGAATCATCAGAATTGGATAAGTATTTTGCCTTGACATGTAAATGTTTTAGTTTTACAAGTGACATATATATATATATATATATATATAAATTATAAAATGTTTTATCATTTCTCAGTACAATGAGTTCATCATAAAAATCAGCCACTCTCACCTCAGGGTGGTTGAGTTCTCCTTCTTCTTCCTCATAGGGACCACCAACAATGAATTCATCAGGAATGTTATTTGCTCCTGCAGCTAGAATGTTGGCAATAGGCCATTTTTTGGGTCGGGGAACAGGTTCTCTTTCACCTCCAACCTTTAGATTTCCATTCTTGAATAAAATGGTATAGTCTTTCTAGAGAAACAAATACCATCTATGAGGGGAAATTGTAAAGTACTTTGAAAAAAATTCTGAAGTGTTTTTTCATTATAATTGATATGGTATTATGTAAAATGCCCTTCTGTGACTGACTTTGTATAGGGCCTAGGTCCATCATTATGTGTTATTTTGCTATCCTGTGATATGTAGAAAACTGATTACAATGCGAATTACTCTGGCCCACAGATATGCAAATATATTTATACAGTAGGAATGTAGTTGTTCATTGCTTTAGGATAATGACAAGTTTTGAATGATTACCAAATTTATTAAGCATTCCTGTGCTTGTTTACAAGTCACTTTTTCAAATTCTCCTTCGATATGCTTTACATTTTACTTATTTACTCACTAATTGGTTAAATGAAATATTTATCTCTGTCTGTGCCTCTGTGTGTGTTTTTTGTTTTTTTGTTTTCTGTTTTTTTGTGGGTGGGGGGCTTGAACTCTGGGCCTGGGTACTGTCCCTCAGTTCTTCACCTCAAGGCTAGTGCTCTACCACTTGAGTCACAGCATCACTTCTGGTTTTTTTTTTGTTTTTTGTTTTTTGGGTCCAGTCGTGGGGCTTGAACTCTGGGCCTGGGCGCTGTCCCTCAGCTCTTCAGCTCAAGGCTAGCGCTCTACCACTTGAGCCACAGCACCACTTC